CTTCAGCTTTTGCTATTTCTGCTTTTCAGAAACCATCACGGCCCTCTTTAAGACCAGCTTTAAGATTGATTTCCCCTTCGACCTGCCGGAGACCGTTTTCTTCACCTGCCTCGGGTGAGGAGTGGGTCTCCCTGTCCTGGTGGTGGGGGGAGTGAGTGGGAGGCAGGGAAGGAGGGAGGGAGGGAGGCAGGAGGCAGCAGGAGAGCCCACCCTCTTTCCTTTGCAGTGTGATCTGTGGTGTGCTGAGCTGCGCCTACCTCTTCTGCCAGCGCTGGTTCCTGGGCTACGTCCGGAGGAACCCCTTCTCGGCCAGGCTGTTGGCCACCGAGTAAGTAGCCGCGGGAAGGCAGCTCTCCAGAGTCCCTGGGATGGCCCCTCCGATTCTGGGACCGGAGAGGTGGACGAGGCTTCCCGCGCAGGAGGTGGGCTGACCGGGGAGACCACCAATGTTTGCCAGCAGTTTAGATTGCTCCTCCCCCACACACCTTTTTACCTCTGGAAGAAAATTGCAGTCCGGCTTCCAAGCTGTTCAGATTCTTTGATCTCAGGCTCCTCTCTAAAGCTTTCTCTGCTTCTCCATCGCGAGATTTACCCCCCCAGAGGTAAAGCTACCTAGGGCATCCCCCAGCCCAGGCTCCTTCGCCGATGCATGACCTCTGCGATAAACTCCTTTCCCTGACCTTTCGGCCTTCTTTTGCAGGAAGCCCCTCTACTCGGTGCTGGTGGCCTTCCTGCTGTCCTCCATCACCTTCCCTCTTAGCCTGGGACGATTCATGGCCTGCAGGGTAACTTACCAGCCATTGCTGCCGAGGGCAGAGCCTGTGAAGAACGCGGGGGGGCGCCATGGCGAGCCAGGGGAGCCGGGGCGGAGGGAGAGGCTGCCGGCCCCCTCTCTGCCCTGGGACGGGGGCGGGGAAGGCGGATACCGTGTCCCAGGCATCACCTTTCTCTTTTGCAGCTGAGCATGAAGGAGCTGCTCACCTCCCTGCTGGATAACCGCACCTGGAGCGTCCTTTCCCAGAACGTGTCACTCGACAGCCCTCCGCAGGTGGACCCCCTCAACCTGTGGCAGGAGTGGTGGCACCCCAGCATCTCCGTTTTCGGCACCTTGTCTGTCTTCCTGGTGATGAAGGTGCGTGTCCGGGGAACCCCCTCCGCCTGGCATGCATCAGAGATCCCCCTCAGGCCCTCCGCTGGGCCTGGCAGCAGAGCTCCTCCCAGGGGGTCTCCCTTGCTCTGTCCGTCAACCTTCGGCTTCACAAGATGAATGGTCAGCCGGCCACTGTGGGCTCTGCTCTCGGGTTGGGCTGCCAGCGTTGACCCTTTCTGCCCTTGCAGTTCTGGATGCTGGTCTTGGCCACCACCATGCCCATGCCCGCTGGGTACTTCATGCCCGTCTTCATTTACGGTGAGCGCTTCCATTTTCTCTAGTCCAGTGGTTCTCAACCTTCCTAATGCTGCGACCCTTTAATACAGTTCCTCATGTTGTGGTGACCCCCAACCCTAAAGGCTCTCCAAGCGCGCACCGACGCCGGCCACTCACCCGCCGCGCCCGGGGCTCAGCGCGCCTTGCCTGTCCTCGCCTCACTTCCGAAGGTCGCCGGCCTGCCCGGCTCCAGCTGGCCGGGGAGGGGGGGGCAGGAAGGCCGCTCCGCTCAGCCTGGTTGGAGAAGTGCCCAGGCAGGGAGAGAGAGAGAGAGAGAGAGCTAAGAGGGCCGCGAAGCAGCGCAGCCTCCCTTAGGAGATGCTCGACGGAAACGAATATGGCGCTGCAACGGCCCCCAGCTCGAAGCCATGCGGAGACGGATAGAGGAGCGGTGTCTCGGTTCCTAAGACCATTGGAAATATGTCTTTTCCGATGGTCTTAGGCGACCCCTGCGAAAGGGTCGTTCGACCCCCAAAGGGGTCGCGACGCACAGGTTGAGAACCGCTGCTCTAGTCGGCTGCCTTCGGCCTCCAGAGGTTGGCCTGTCAAGTTCAGGAGGGCGAGGTTGACCTCTTTCTCTGTCCTCCCCCAGGAGCTGCCATCGGCCGCTTGGTGGGCGAAGCCGTGGCCCTCCTCTTCCCCGGGGGCATCACTGCCGAAGGGACCCCCAGCCCCATCATCCCTGGGGCGTACGCGCTGGCAGGTATGTCAGGAGGCTTCCTTGGCGAGCCTGGGAGGCAGGCAGGGTGGAAACACTCCCCTCCCACACACACACAAACACACATACACACCCCTTTGCTCTCCGGGAAATCAGCCACCCACTGCTCTTCCCCCTCAGGGGCCGCTGCCTTCTCCGGCTCGGTCACCCACACCCTCTCCACCGCCTTGCTGGCCTTTGAGATGACCGGGCAGATCGCCCACATCCTGCCTGTCCTGCTGGCTGTCCTGGTGGCCAACGCCATTGCCCAGAAGTTCCAGCCGTCCTTCTACGATGGCACCATCATTGTCAAGAAGCTACCCTACCTTCCCCGCATCCGGAGCAGGCATATCGAGTGAGCTTGGCCGGCTGGGACCTGGGGGTTGGGACGCCGGCCTTCCCAAAGAACGGGCCCTCTGCGTGTGTCCAGAGCACCCCTCGCCTGACCTGGCCAAAGTGCTGCCCCGGCGCCATAAAGCCGTCGGTCTGGTGAGCGCTGCTTCTCTTTCAGGTCCTACACGGTCACCACCCGAGAGTTCATGAACACCGATTTTGTCATCCTGGCCCAGGAAGCCACCTTTCACGACATCCTCCAGGTGGTCACCATGACGGATGCCCAGGAGTATCCTGTGGTAGACAATGCGGGTACGGTGGTGTTCTGAAAGCAGCAGGGCGTGTGTGTGTGTGTGTCTCATGCTGGAACTGTCTGGTGGGAGGGTCCCACCTTATGAATGGAGCAGCGTTGAAGCATTTGTAGCATATCTCAGGGGCTGCCCCAAAGAAGAGGGGAGTCAAGCTCTTCTCCAAAGCCCCTGAAGAAGGCAGGACAAGAAGCAGCGGATGGAAACTCATCAAGGAGAGAAGCAACCTAGAACTAAGGAGAAACTTCCTGACAATTGTTAAAAAGATGTTGAGACTCTAGAAAGAGTACAGAGAAGAGCAACAAAGAGGATCAGGGGACTAGATGACCTCTGAGGTCCCTTCCAACTTTATTATTATTATTATTATTATTATTATTATTATTATTATTATTATTATTATTATTATTCTCCAAAGCGCCTGAAGGCAGGACAAGAAGCAAAGGATGGAAACTCAACCAAGGAGAGAAGCCACCTAGAACTAAGGAGAAACTTCCTGACAGTCAGAACAATTAACCAGTGGAACCACCTGCCTCCAGAAGCGGTGAATGCTCCAACACTGGAAGTTTTAAAGAAGAGACTGGACAGCCCTTTGTCCGAAATGGTATAGGGCTTCCTGCCTGAGCAGGGGGTTGGACTAGATGACCTCCAAGGTCCCTTCCGACTTTATCATTATTATTAAATACTCATGTACACCCAAACACACACACACATAGCCACATTCCTAGAAACTGCAGTCTTGGAATAACAGACTTGGAAGGGACCTTGGAGGTCATCTAGTCCAAGCTAGGAGAAGCTATACCGTTTGTGACAAGTGGCTGTCTTTAATTTCTTCTTGAAAGCCTCCAGTGCTGAAGCACCCACAGCTTCTGGAGGCAAGCTGTTCCACTGGTTTATTCCTCTCACGGTTAGAAATTTCTTCTTGTTTCTAGGTTGAATCTCTCCTTGATCGGTTTCCAGGGTCAGTTTGTGCTTTGGAAAAATAGGTTGACCCCCCTCCTCTCTTGTGATAGCCCCTCAAATATTGGAACCCTGCTATCATGCCTCCCCTGGCCCTTCTTCTCTTCACTGGACTAGCCTTGCCCAGTTCCTGCACCCGTTCTTCCTATGTTTTAGCCTCCAGCCCCCTGATCACCTTGGTCGCTCTTCTCTGCACTCTTTCCAGAGGCTCAACATCTTTTTTTTTATAGCGTGGTGACCAAAACTGGATGCTTCCCTCTGCTTCTTTCTCCCTCAGAGTCTCAGATGCTGCTGGGGGCGATCCAGCGGTCCAGTCTCATCCAGTTTCTCCAGAGCCACGAGGATTCCAGCCTGCCGCAGGAGGAGCCGGGGAAAGAGGTGGGCCCGAGAAGACAACTTGGCAAGAGCTGAGCATCTGCTTTCCGTGGGGTGGAGTGGATGGGGCAGGGCTCCTTCCCACCCTGCCTCTCCTGCTGCACCGCGCTTCCACGGCTGCGCTTCTCCCTTCCAGCTCCTCCCGGGCCAGACTCTGAAAGAAGGCTGCACCATCAGTCCGGTGAGCCTGCAGCTCTCCCCGTGGACATCTCTGCACCAGGTACTTCAGGGCCTGCAGGTGGCCTCAGGCCGGGGCACCCCACCCGAGGGCTGAAGCGGGGCTCATTCCCCTGCCGAGGCGCCAGGCCAACAGCGACAGGAAGGAGGGCGGGAAGCCGCCACTCTGTTGAACCGTGCGGGGTCTGTGTGTGTGTGGGGGGGGAGGCATTGATTGGGGAACAGGGCCAGGCAGGGTTTTCAAGGGGGTCCATTGGGAAAGGGTTTTTTTTTTTAAGAAGGGGGCCTGTTCCCTCACCGAGCCTTTTTTTCTCTCCCGCAGGCCCACAACCTCTTTGAGATGCTGAACCTGCAGCGGGCTTTCGTCACCCAGCTGGGGAAAGTGGTGGGGATCGTGACCAGGAGGGAGGTGAGTGGGTGGTCTTCCCCAGGAGGTGCTGTTCCTCCTTCCCATCAGCCCTCCTTTTGTGGGTACCGGTGGGGGCAATGAGGACAGAGGGCTTGGCTGCTGCTGCTGCTATGCCAACGCTGGCATCGTCGGTCTGGAAATGAAACGGGGCTTGCAGTCTCCCTCTTGAGCTGGCGAGAGACTGATGAGCTTTGCCGCTCTCCCGAGATCCTGTCCTTGGAGGGGAAGCAGTTCAGGACATTTGCAACGTCCACTTGCTCTCTGTGGCCCCTTATCAGCTTGGCTGTTTTTTTTTTTTCTTCTTCTTCTTCTTCTTCTTCTTCTTCTTCTTCTTCTTCTTCTTCTTCTTCTTCTTCTTCTTCTTCTTCTTCTTCTTCTTCTTCTTCTTCTTCTTCTTCTTTCTTTCGTCTTTCGTCTTTCGTCTTTCGTCTTTCGTCTTTCGTCTTTCGTCTTTCGTCTTTCGTCTTTCGTCTTTCGTCTTTCGTCTTTCGTCTTCCTTCTTCCTTCTTCCTTCTTCATCATCTTCTTCTTCTTTCTTCTTTCTTCTTCTTTAGCTCCGGAAAGCCATCGAAGAGCTGGCCAACCCCAAAGCCGGGCGATAGCGGAGCCAGCGGGAGGAGCGTGCAGGAGAGGTGAAGCCGTACGTTGAGTTCCTGGCCTTGGCGACCTGTTACTGCATGCTAGCGAGATTCTCCGGCCTGCCTAAAGAAGAATTCACTACAAAGTTAAAAAAAAAAAATATGGAAAGAGCGAGCAGCAAAAGGGGAAGATGTAGGCGCTTTTTAGATCTTTTGGCATTTTAGAAATAGTTGCAAAGACACGTTCTAACGTATAGGAGGCTCAAGACTTTCCCCAATTTGGCAACGGGTGCGAGGGTCTAGCGCAGGGGTAGGCAACCTTGGCTCTTTGATGACTGGTGGACTTCAACTCCCAGAATTCCTGAGCCGGCGTGGCTCAGCTTGGAAACCTCTCCCTTTCCCCTCAGCGTGGCTGGCTCAGGAATTCTGGGAGTTGAAGTCCACGAGTCATCAAAGAGCCAAGGTTGCTTACCCCTGGCCTAGCATGAGGTGAGTGGGTTTTTGGGGGAAGGGGGGCTTCACCTGGCTGTGTCCTTTCCCCATTGTTGTGTTTCCTAAAGAAGAGTCCCAGGAACCAGCCCTCCAGATACATCCTTCAGCCAGGCTGGATCAGACCTCGCCTCCAATCAGAGCAGGCCTGCCTTGCTCCTTCCCTCCTCAGCTGGGGTCCCCTGGGGGCCAGCTCCTTTCTTCCTGCTCCCTGCTCCTTCCAGGCAAGAAGGCAAATGTCATTTTTCTGCCCCATCTGTTTTTATTGACATCTTCAGTGCAACATTCCTGGGCCAGGCACCCTTTCGTCCATAAGGAAGGATTGAGGTCGCTCCGTGAACATTAGCAAGCACCGGAAGGGACAGGAGGCCTTTTGGAAACCCTGAAGGGAGACTGGCCAGAATTCCCAGCCGGCCATTGACCCCTGCTCCAAGTCCATCCTCCACGTGCCTCCCCCACCGCTCGCCCGGCTGTGCGGGGTCCGTCTCAACGCTGAAAGGGCTGATTGTGGATCAGGCCGGCTCTGACGGGCTGTGCCAAAAAAGCGTAATCCTCCTGCAACTGAAACGGCTCGGGGACCATAACGCACTTCCTCAGCCCAGCTCCTCAGGCTGCCAGGCCAAGGCTGGGCTGGGCCTGAGAAGAGGCCTCTCAGCCCCTGGAGGAAGACCACCCTCAGCCCTGCAGTCGTGCCCCTCCTGGAGCTACTCATGCCACCACAGTTGTTGCCGACCGGCCACCCAAGTGGCCCCAGCCTAGTCGTAGAAGACCTCGTCCTCTGAGGAAGAGCTGTTGTCCACGTCGTGCAGAGACGTGGCCCTCTGCTGCCATCTACAGGAGCTGGGTGGGCCCACCAGCTCCCCTTCTGCCCTTCCCAAGCCGCCCTGCTCCGCTTCCAGGGGTCTGCTTGGGATGGGGGGGCTCCTGGTTGGAGAGCGCAAAGGTCCGGAGGCTGCCTGCGGGAAGCAGTGGGCAGGAGAGCAGACCATCCTGCAGAGAGAGGCCTTCCAGATCTGGTTGGAGGAGAAGAAGAAGGAGGCGGAGAAGGAGAGTCAGAAGGGAAGACGCCGCCAGGGGACTGAGAGAAGTGATGCACCTGTCCTGGGGCAAAGGTCAGGGGCCGTACCTTGGAGCTGGATCACCTCCTGCGAGCCTGCCCTGGAGCTCAGCTCCTCTTCGTTCAGGGAGGGCCAGCCGCTCAGGGTGGCTTCCATGATGGCAAACTGCTCGGCCACACCTGGAGAGGGGCCGGAGAGCTGGGAAGTGAGGCACAGACGGCTTGGGGCAAGACTGAGACACACAAACACACACAATGCAAGCTCTGCAAGAACACCAGAAGAGAGCAGTTGATGACCAGCTGTCCCTCTGCATTACCTCTGGGATGCCCAGTAGCTGCAAACACAGAATGCTGGCCAGACGCCCCCACTGTCCCCACAGCCTCCCTCCCTCCCTCCCCTGCTACAAACCGAGCCTCCTTCAGCTGGTCAGTCAGCTCCTCATAGAGCATCTCTTCAGTGGGGGGCGCCCTCCAGCCCTTCCACTCCATGAGATGGGGCCACGCATCCTTGGGCCATGGCGGTGGGCTTGGTAATGTGGTCCTTTAGGGTCTGGATGAAGCCTGGAGGACAGAGGAGAAGCAGGACTGAGCCGAGACGTGAGCAGATGGGGGGACCTGGAGGAGCCATGGGGACGAATGCCACCATGCCCGCTCTGCTGCATTCCCGCCTGGAAGAACTACGGAGGGTTTCCATGGAAACAAACACTGCAAGACGCATTCCTCTCCATGCTGTCCAAAGGCTTAGAGGGGCGAAGATCCCTTTGCAGCCAGGGAAGATGGACTCGCCCGATTGTCCTCCCTGGAAAAGTGGCCCTCTCCCAAAGAAGGCTTATCGAGCTGACCACAATCACCCAGTGAAAGAGGGGAAACACCACCTTGGCACGGTACCTCGAGACCATCTAGTCCAACCTCTGCTCTTCGCAGGAATCTAAATGAAAGTGTCCCACAGAATTTCTCCTCTGCTGCTGCCTGGTCCAGCTGCTCGGATGCCTCGGAAGCTGTTCCCTTGGGATTGGCCGTGTGGGAAGACCCGTACCCTCCGTGTCACGGTGCTTGGCTGCCTTCTGCACAAAGTTGCACAGCCTGAGATGCTCTGGGCAGGGTGGCCATCTCACTTCCCCCCCCCACCCTCAGGAGGGCCCCCCAAAATGATGTGGACTTTCAATGTAGCTCTCCTGGCCCTTGGTGTGAGGCTGCGCTAATGAAAAGTGCCCCTCTTGTGTTCCTGCCAGTCCAGGAATGGCAGAGCTGCTGGAAAGCCCTTGATCCGGAGGGCAGGGAGGAGGTAGCAAGGGCTGTCACATCGTAGGCCCCCCAAAGTAGCACTGCCGGAGCCCCGGGAGGACTTCTGTAGGAGGAGAAGAGGGAGGTGACCTAGGATGGCCCTCTATGGCAGAGGTCCCCAACCTTTTGGACACCAGGGGACCGGTTCCGTGGAGAGAGGTTTTCCCACGGACCACAGAGTGCGTGCTTTTGTCTGCTGCATGCATCCCACGGATGGGGCTTCGCTTGTTTGTGCGGACCGCTTGCTGGCATGCCGCGGCCCGGCACCGGTCCACAGACCGGGGGTTGGGGACCCTTGCTCTATAGTCCAGCCTGGCTGGTTGTGGGTCTAAAGAAAGCCCCAACCTTGCCCCAGCCTGTGAGGAGGAATTGCCTGCAGCCTGTGCCCCCCCTCAGCCAAAGTCCAGGCGGGGTGGGTGGGAGAGGATTTAACCATTTCTGAAGGCCCCTCCTCGGAGAGGGTGAGGGACGGGGCTTCCGGTTGGTTGCTGCCCCCCCAGTTTGAAATGTCCTTTTCTCCCCCATAGGAGGCACATCCATGCTGGCTGTGGCTTCAGCAGCTGACCTTTACATTATGCTTTGTCACGGCTGTTGTGACTTTGTGTCTTCGTGCTTGGCTATCTGTATCACCGTGCCCAGTCTCTCAAATGTATTGTTTGACCCTGGATGTTTGCAATCGCGTCATTTTTCATTGTCAAGAAACCCCAGTGCTTGCTTTTGGGGGGGGGGGCGAGGGGGAAAGTGGGATGGATAGAAAGGTTTTCCTCAAGCAGCCTTGCTAAGGGGAGGGGCGCCAGCCTTTACCTCAGAGGTGTTTCCTTTTGGGGGGGCAACAGGTGGATTGCCGCCTTCCTGGTCCGGCAGAGGGACAGTGCCCCCCCTCCTCGTGAGGAATCCTGCAGAAAGAATGCAGGCTTAGCAGCACCACAGACAGGCCAGGCCAGGCTCTGAGATGGGATGGGGGCCCTATAGCTGGGGCATCCTTCAAGCCATCTCCCCCAAAGTCAGGCAATGGGGGGCAAGGCCCTTTGCTCCCCTCCCTCACAATGGCCACCCTTTAAGCAGCTGGCTAATGCGCACCCGGGAGTCCATCCTGGGAGGAGCTGGTCCTCCCCAATGACCCCTAGATCAGCCTGGGGCCTTTGGGTGCTCTGTGTGGCTCCTTGCACCCAAAGCTTGCAGGCTCAGAAACCCGGAGAGCCTCCCTGTAGCCAGCAAGCCAGGATTTCTTGTCGCTTCACTTTGAGGCCCGAGAGGAAAGGATGCAGAAGGGAAGGGAAGGGAACGGGGGGTGGGATTGCTGCCCAGCCACAGTTCCTACCACCACTTTCTTTGCTTTGATCCTTCCTGCAGAAGGCAGCCAGGAAGTTGCAAAGGAGGCTGAACTGGGGTGGGGTGGGTGCTTCTTTTAGGACCCCCCAGTATCTGGGAGTCCCAAAGGTGTTTTTTCAAAAGGCAGCTGGGACTTGAAAAAGCACCTTTGGGTGACTGATAATCTGATAATCTCCATAGACAATATCTGGGCGTCTTGGAAAGGGGAAGGGGTCGGGGGCTTCCTCTAGCTGGGATGGAAACCCTGCATCCCATAATCATTCTCGCCTCACTGCAAGGGGAACTCACACACACACACCCCCAAAGGATGGGAAAGAGGGATTTCCTGCACACCTACAGAATCCATTTTCAGGACCGATCCCTGGGCAACGAAAATTGCTTCAAGGTTCTAGTCCTCATTTTAGAGCTCTCCTTCCCGATTATTTCTAAGCTGTTTGGGCACCATTTTGTCGTATTGCTTGCCGAAAGAAACCCATCTGATACGCTGCTCTTAATCCTACAATCCCACGAAGCATTTGTAGACTGCTCTAGAGGACCCCAATAGGAAAGATGGGCCATCATTTGAGCATGTACAGAATGCAGAAAGACCTCTGCAGCGTTTCATCCTCGGCATGGCTGAATAATTCTTGTTGCTTCACCCACTGGCGAGTGGACGGAGGCGATCCAATCTCACCTCTGTCCCAAATAGGAATCGCTTCCCCAAAGACCCCGGTTCCTCTCTTCTTTCCCTCATCCTTTCAGCCAGAACAGTGGTTCTCAACCTTTTTAATGCCGCGACCCGAACCGGTCGTAAGTCGAGGACTAAACCGGTCGTACGTTGAGGACTACCCAACCGGTTGTAAGTCGAGGACTTTCCCTGCCCGGGAGCGCCGCGCATGCGTGGTTCCTCCCCCTGAGCCGGCCGAGGCGTAGCTGGCAAGCGGCAGAGACGGAGCAGGCCGACCACCAGCTGGCCCAGCCCAAGGGAGGTAAGGCACCCGCCGGAAAAGGGGAAAAAAATGGTGGACAAAAAAATGGCGGACAGCTTTGTTTGGCGACCCCCATGAAATGGTCAATCGACCCCAAATGGGGTCCCGACCCACAGGTTGAGAACCACTGAGTCAGAAGGATGCAGAGGTAGAATGGGGCGGTACATGGAGGCTCCAGGGAGTTCCAGACCGAGGCAAGGTGGCGGGACTCCTGCCGGCTGCCCCCTCTCCCGCTGCCTGCACAGAGACCTCTTGGGCAGAGAGCCAGACCGACCTCGGCATCGCGCTGTGCCCCACCTGGATCGCGGAAAAAGGTGAGCCCAAGAGGGCTGCTCACCTTTGGTCGCGCAAGAGCCCATGGTGGGGCGCGGGGGGGCGTGCCGGAACCACCGCGGGCATTGAGGTCGTTCGCCCGGTTCCTGGGCCTTGAAACTGCGGGCTGGGCGGGCAAAAGGCGGAGCGGTCCAGCGCCAGAGGAGCCACCTCCGCCGCCTTTCCTTCCTTCCTTCCTTCCTCTCCCATCTCCTTCCTTCCTTCTCTCCCTCCTCCCATCACTTTACTTCCTTCCTTCCTTCCTTCCATCTCCTTCCCTCCATCCCACCCGCCCTCTCCCATCACTTTCTTTCTTTCTTTCTTTCTTTCTTTCCTTCCTTCCCTCCCTCGCAAGACCGACCCCCCAAAAGGCCGGGGCAGAGTGGATTCGGGAGGGGTGGGGAAGCGCCCCCCCAAAGCCCCCGATGCAGGAGAGGCTGCGAGCGCCGCCTCCAGGGAGGCCAGTCGGCCAGCGCAGCAGGTCCGCGGCTTCCGAGGGGGGCTCCCTACCGAGAAGCTGGCCCTGCGGCGCACCCGGCTCCGGCCCCCGTCGCGTGCAGCCGCTTCGCCGTCTTTTTCTTGCCGAGCAACGGCGATCGTGGGCGCCACGCAGCCCCCGCGGGAAGGGGGCAGGACAGGCCGGGGATCCAAGCCTCCGCTCCAGCCGCGGGTAGCCCGAGATCGGAGCAGCCGCAGCTCTTGGCAACGGTTGGAGCCCGGGCAAGGCGGGATCAGCGTCGGGAAACGGGGCAACGCGAACCCCTGAAAAATCCGGGGGGCAAAGAAGGAAGCAGCGGCCGGTCCTGCCACGCGGTTGCGCCAGAGGGGCATCCCAGCCACCCCTCGGATGGAGCCCACGCTGGCCGGGGGACCCTGGGAGCGATTGCTCGGAGCCTTCCACCAACGGGACGCTTGCTCTCGGGTTGCTTGATGCAGGAGACGCTTAGGGGGGGGCAGCGAAATCGCGCGTGGGGAAGGGATCCGGAGCGGCAGCCAATCAGAATTCCCAGATCTCCGGATGGATCCCACTTAACGCGCCCGCGAGCAAGAAGTGGCCCCAGCTGTGCCTCCTCGCCGCCCTGGCCCCGCCCCCTCCGCGGCAGGATTCGGTTCCCACCAATCGGGGGAAAAGGGAAGAAAGGGCGGGGCCCGAACGAGGCGGGGCCGCGAAATGGGAGGGAAGGTTCAAATAGCAGCCCGGGACGCCGGGCGGGCCCGTAAGCCTAGAGCGTCCCTATGGCGGAAAAGTGAGTGGCCCTTCTAGGAACTCGCCGTGTGGGTGGGAAGGGACTCGGCGCCGGTCACCTGACCCCCGCCAGCCAATGGGGCTGCCTTGTTTGGGCGGGAAACTGCGTGGGCGTGCCCCGGCCCTGAGGCACGCTGTTGCTCTGGCCTAGCGAAGCCGGCGTGGCGGCGGTTGAGGCTCCGCGGAAGCGGGCCGAAGAGGGGCTGCCGTCGCTGCCGCCGCTCGTCCTTCTCCTCCTCCTCCTCCAGTCGCGGTTTCTGCGGTTCTCTTTCTAGGTGCGGCGATGGCTTCCACTCCATCGAGTGCCTGGAGAAGAATTTCGTGAGTGGCCGGGCCGAGCGCGTCTCTTCCGGGGCCGGGCGGCCGAAGGGTCCCCCAGCGCAGGCCGCCGCGCTCGTTGCCCGGCCTCGGGGCTGCTTTCAGCGCCCTTGGTAGCTCTGGAGGGCCCGAGTGGTGAGGGCAGGCATCGGCCAGGCGGCCCCGGCGCCTCTTTCTCTCCCGGGGGTGGGGGAGGTGTTGTGTTTGTGCGGGTGTGTGTGTGCGTGTGCGTGTGCGTGTAAATATGAGGAGAAGCTGAAGCGCTCGTGTCTTGCCTGGCTTCGCAACGGCCCAGCGCAGGGGTCTTCAAACTTGGCCCTTTTACGACTTGTGGACTTCAACTCCCAGAATTCCTCAGCCAGGCAAGTTGGCTGAGGAATTCTGGGAGTTGAAGTCCATAAGTCGTAAAAGGGCCAAGTTTGAAGACCCCTGGCCCAGTGCTCTGGTTGCTGTGGAGAAGCCAGGTTTGGGCCAGGAAAGAGAGAGAGAGAGAGAGACACACACACACACACACACGACACACACGACACACACCTCTTCTTGCCCCCTCCCTCTCCCCCCACCCCCCCAAGCAGGCCCTTTGCTTCCTGGAGGCTCAATTCTGTCTCGTCTTCAGGTGGCTTTGCAAAAGAAAGTGGAAGAGGACTTCTCCCAAGTGGAGAGCATTCAGATGAAGGTGGGTGCAAACCCAGCCTCCTTTGGGGGCAGCCAGAATGGCCCTGTCCTCTCAAACACACCAGGAGGGATGGGGTTTCCTGGGAGAAATCTGCCAGAGGGGATAGGTTGCTAAGGGTGTGAACGTTCGGACAAGACAACATTCTCTACACCAGTGGTTCTCAACCTGTGGGTCGGGACCCCATTTGGGGTCGATCGACCATTTCATGGGGGTCACCAAGAAAGGCTGTCTGCCATTTTTTTTGTCCACCATTTTTCCCCCCTTTTCCGGCGGGTGCCTTACCTCCCTTGGGCTGGGCCAGCTGGTGGTCGGCCTGCTCCGTCTCTGCCGCTTGCCAGCTATGCCTCGGGCGGCGCAGGGGGCGGAACCACGCATGCGCAGCGCTCCCGGGCAGGGAAAGTCCTCGACTTACGACCGGTTGGGTAGTCCTCGACTTACGACCGGTTTAGTCCTCGACTTACGACCGGGTTAGTCCTCGACTTACGACCGGTTGGGGTCGCGGCATTAAAAAGGTTGAGAACCACTGCTCTACACGCATGCTTTGGCGTCTCCTCTCTCGGGTTACAGAAAAAAATGTTTCGTGTTACACCTATCAAAAATTAGACTTTTTGTTGGCCCTTAGCACCGTGGTGATTCTCTTCTAGGCCCATGGAAAATATGCACTATAACTTGGTTTGCTCTCTCTGTCCGATTTACTCCCTCGGAGTCCTCCACCGGCATTCACTTTTCGTGTCATCTTTCTAACAATTTCTGTATCAGCTTCTTTTGTTGGCTGCCTGTCAGCTTCTAAGAGCTGGGCCGTAACCTCTTGAAGGGCTGGGTTTTGCAGCTCATCCTCAGAGGGGCTGTGAACTTGCCACAGTGGCTTGCTGTCCTTGCTAAATGCAAGATGGGGACTGAAAGCCCCAAAGGAGGCAGAACAGGGGGAAAAGTGTCACAGGCAGGCTGAATTCCGCTCTACTGAAGCCGAGCCAGGTTCTGAAGAGTGCCCACCCCGTATTTTTGGCCCAGATAAAAGCTTTGAGCACCGACTGGGAGGAACGACACCAACAATTGAAGGTAGAGCAGGAAAAGGTGACCGAACTGGAAGCCCAGATAAAGATGCTGAACACCAAGCAGGAAGAAGCCATGGCTTCCCTTCAAGCTGATGTGCTGCGTGCTGCCAGCCAGATCCAGCAGAAGGAAGGGTTGGCAGAGCGACTCAGGAGAGAAGTTGCCTTCCTGGAGACGAGGGTGAGAACGGCCTGCCAGGAGGCCGCTGAGAGTGCTGCTGGACTGGAAAAGGGAGCTCACGAGGCCCGGCTGGCTTTGGAGGCCACTCTGGCCTCTCTCTGCCCACAGCTGGACCAAGAGGAAGTGGTCAGGCAAAGCTTGCAGTCTGAGCAGGAGACCCCCCCACCGCAGCATTGTGAGCAATTCCTGGGTGGCCAGGACACCAAGTGGCCAGGAAAGGCGGAAGGAGCGGAAGCCGCAGCAGAAGAGGCTCTAGAAGAACAGCCACAGGAGGTAGAGGGTGGCCTCCAGGAAGAGGTGAGCTCCGCATGGAAGGATTTAGCTCTCAGCTTAATGGTCCTTGTGCTGGACCAATTCAGTGGCTGGAGGTGGGGACCTCTGCTGCGGACTGGCTCTCGGGATGTGGGACGGAGAGGGACTCTTGGGCACAATTGCTCTAGCTTCTTGGCTGCAGCATTAGATAAAGCTGAACTGGTACAAGGGGGTATCTGGATGAACTCAAGCTTCCCCTTCAGCCAGTGCTGGAAGAGGGCGAGGCTGGTTCTTCTCATCTGTCTGAGGCCAGGTCTTTTGCCTCTACAGGTCTCTAGCTTCCCTTGATCCCGACATCCTCCCCAGCAGGCCTGTATGTAGCCTGTTCCACCTTCTCACTCACTGGGGTGGCCTCTTTTTCTCAGAGCACGTGGGCGTGGGAGCGGAGGCTTTCCTGTGTTGGGCTGGCTGAGAGAACTCGAGAGCCGGGCTCCTGACACTTCAGCACTGCGGATTTCTGGGATGAGTGGGTGTCGTGAGGGATCACCTGTTGGAGCATGGGGTGGGTGCGAGAAGCCCGCAAAAGCTTAGCAGGACCCCCCTGGGTGTCAGCCCCTAGGAAGGAATGCCCCCCCCCCCCGAGCACCCTCAAACGAAATGACCAGGAGATTTTGCAACACTGTTCTTTTTCCCCCCACAGGCCAAGCCCAGAACCAGCAGGGGTATGGCTCTTGCTTCGTCCACCGATCACCTTGTGGCTCTTGGAATGCATGCGTTGGCTCCCTGGAGCCACTGGTCAGGGGAACAAGCTGTGTCTAGAAGCCCGCAGAAGGGGGGGGTCTTTGGGACTCCTTTGTGGGAAAGGCTTCTGCCCACAGGGTTGAAAATTGTACTGTCTGTCTGTTACCGGTGTCTTTCTGAGATGCATCCTGCTGGAACTGATTGTCACTTAGCATTGAATAAAGACGTGCACACCTGCAAAACGAGCACCTTTCTTTCAAACGAGCGTGAAGAAGCAGGGCTGATCCTGATGGAGGTTGTCTCGCGCCATTTCATTACGCCTTTCGAGGCGGCTTCTGCAGGCATCTCTCAGCCCAGAGGCCTTCAAACGTGGCCCTTTTATGACTTGTGGACTTCGACTCCCAGAATTCCTCAGCCAGGCATGCCTGGCTGAGGAATTCTGGGAGTCGAAGTCCACAAGTCATAAAAGGGCCACGTTTGAGGACCCCTGGCTTAGCCAAATCT